AAACTACAGTATGACGCGGAAGAACACCACCAATCGAACACAGTTCCTGCTGTAATTCACAAAAGAAGACGTCCACGGCATCTTGATTTTACTTCTTCAATACCAAGTCAATAGTAAATAGTCACAAAATTCCACTGCAAAGAAAAAAGGAAAAAATTTCCAAAGTTAGTCGAATCAATCTTATCCAACATTGATGTCTTTGAAAGAAGTCACTTTTAGCAGAATAAGCACTCACACAAAGAAACCCAGTTTGGCTAATGAGGAAAGTACGAAGAAAACAAATCAAAATTAACAATTAACATTATTTCATTTTGTGGGTCTAGCAAAGCAAAGCTCATCACTAAACTGAGCCTGATTAAATCAAAATTAAAATTATCCCATAGCTCACAACTCAGAAAACCCCGAATCAACAAAATTAATAATGACCACAACAGTAGTTCCAATTCAAAACCCTAATTCATGTGACCAAACCAAACAAAATCTTTCATTTTATATATAAGCATCCAAGAAAGCAACAAAAAAACACCTCAGAACAACAAACAAACTTCAAGCCCCCCTGACCTAGACCCACCAAAAAAACCCAAAACGAAAAGATGACAAATTTCAGAGTAAAACCTAGGTTGAAGGAGAAGATGGCAGAACAAATCCAGGTTAACGATTACAGAGGATCAGATTTCAGATTTCGTATTTCAGTACGTTTTTCTGAGATAAAAATTCCCTAGATTTGCGCTGCTAAACAAGATCTACCACTACTGCTTGCTTCTAGTGAGAGAGAGAGATGAGAGAGACAGAGATGGGGAGGGCGTGTTTGGGAGTGGTGGTATTTAATTTTGGAGTTTCGTTGGGATGCGTGCAGGGACTTAGACATAGAGGAGTCAAACACGGAGCGTGGGAGCCGTCGGATTGGGGGCCTTGGAAATGCTTTCCGTCTATTGCGGATGCAATGATGACCGTCGGATGGAGCACGCGTGCAAGGGGGACATTGTGGGGCCCTTTCACGGGGTTTGACGAATGCGTATCGTGGAAATGACTCCTCCTCTCCTCATACTCCTCGTGTGAAAGCCTCGCCATTCAC